TGGCTGGAATTTTGCTGAGAATTTTTACATCTGTATTCATGAGGGATATGTGTCTGTAATTTTCTTTTTTTGTGGTGTCTTTGCCTGGCTTTGGTGTCAGGGTTATGCTGGCTGCACAGAATGAATACGGGAGTATTCCTTTCTCTTCTATACTCTGAAATAGTTTGAGTAGTATTAGTGTGAACTCTTCTTTGAATATATTTGATAGAATTCTCCAGTGAAGTCACCCAGGCTAAGGTTTTTTTTTGTTGTTGTTGGAAGTTTTATTACCTCTTCAATCTTCTTTTGTCATGGGTCTATTCAGTTTTTCTACCTCAGTTTGTGACAGTTAGGTCGGTAGTGTGTTTCTAGAAATTTGTCCATTTCTTCTAGGTTTTCAGATTTGTTGGAGTACAGTTTTTCATGGCATTCTGTTATGATCCTTTTTATTTCAGTTGGTTCTGTTGTAATGTCACCCATCTCATTTTTTCTTAGGGTTATTTGCTTCCTCTCCTGCTTTTCTTTTGTCAGTTTGGCCAGTGGTTTGTCGATTCTGTTGATCTTTTCAAAGAACAAACTTCTAGTCTTGTTGATTCTTTCTATTGTTTTTCTGTTCTCTATTTCATTTATTTCTGCTCTAATCTTTATTATTTCCTTTCTTGTGGCGACTGTGGGCTCCTTTTGCTGTTCTCTTTCTATTTGTTCCAGTTGTGGGGTTAATGTTTTGATTTTCGCCCTTCTTTGTTGAAGTACATGTTTATTGCTATAAATTGACCTCTGAGCACTGCTTTTTCTGTGTCCCAAAGGTTTTGGTAAGAAGTGTTTTCATTCTCATTTGATTCCAGGAATTTTTTATTCCATCTTTGATTTCTTCTATTACCCAGTGGTTTTTAAGTAAGGTATTATTCAATTTCCATGTATTTGATTTTTTTTTCTTGCTATTCCTGTTGTTGACTTCTACTTTTATAGTGTTGTGTTCAGAGACAATGCTTTGTATTATTTCAATGTTTGGGATTTTGTTAAGGATTGCTTTGTGGCCTAAAATGTGGCCTATTCTGGGGAACGTTCCATGTGCATTGGAAAAGAATGTATACTTTGCTGCTGTTGGGTGGAGTGTTCTGTATATGTCTATGAGGTCGAGTTGGTTGATTATGGCCATTAGATCTTCTGTATCTTTGCTGAGTTTCTTCCTAGATGTTCTGTCCTTCACTGAAACTGGTGTGTTGAAATCTCCTACTATTATTGTGGAACTGTCTATTTCTCTTTCAGTGCTGTTAGAGTTTGTTTTATGTATTTTGGAGCTCTGTCATTGGGTGCATATATATTTATTATGGTTATGTTCTCCTGTTGGATTGACCCTTTAATCATTATATAATGTCCTTCCTTATTTTTTATGGTGGATTTTGCCTTAAAGTCTATTTTATTAGAGATTAATTTTGCTACTCTTGTTCTTTTTTGGTTATTGTTTGCTTGATATATTTTTTTCCAACCTTTGAGTTTTAGTTTATTTATGTCTTTGTGTGTAAGGTGTGTCTCTTATAGACAGCATACTGATGGGTCATTTTTTAAATTCATTCTGCCCCCTCTGTCTCTTTACTGGTACATTTAAGCCATTTACGTTCAGTGTGATTATCAGTAGGTATCAATTTACTGCTGTCATTTTGTTGTACTTTTTTTGGTGGTGTTGACAGTTTCTTTGTTCTGCTTAATTTTCTGTGCTGAGTTCTTTTTGTTTGTGGTTTTTCTTTTCATTTCTTTCACTGTTGTTGTTTTTGTGTTTACTGATCTTTATGTTTTTCTTCTTTTTTATCTTGATGAATAGGTTCATTAACTTCCCTTGTGGTTACCTTGAAATTTAATTTTGTTTTCCTAAGTTTAAACCAGTCTTTTATTTCTTGGTATCACCTTGACTCCCTTTCCATATGAAAGTTCTATAACTACACCATTTATTCCCTCTTTTTTGTTTTGATGTTGTCATCATTTACAGATTGATGTCTATGGTTCCCTGTTTTCAGTCTTTTAGCTTTGTTTTATTTTTGAGAGTTCTTTATCTAGGTTGGTATCTGGCTGATGCTGTCCTGTGTCCTAATCCCAGGTTGTTGCCTGATGTTGTTGGTTCTCTATCTGAAAGACTCCTTTTAATATTTCTTGTCAGTTTGGTCTGGTTTTCACAAATTCCCTTAATTTCTGTTTATCTGGAAATGTCTTAATTTTGCCATCATATCTGAGAAACAGTTTTGCTGGATATATAATTCTTGGTTGGTAAATTGTTTCTTTCAAGGTTTTATATATATTCTATTCCATTGCCTTCTTGCTTGCATGGTTTCTGCCAAGTAATCAGAACTTAGTCTTATTGGTTGCTCTTTGTAGCTGACTTTTCATTTTTCTTTGGCTTTGGCTTTGGCAACTTTGATTATGATATGTCTTAGTGACTTTCTTTTGGGGTCTATCCTGTATGGAGTTCATTGAGCTTCTTGGATGGATATCTTCTCATCTTTCATGATATTACAGAAGTTTTCTGCCAGCAAATCTTGGACAATTCTGTGTTTTCCACTGCCTCCCCCTGTTCTGGAACTCTGATCATGTGTAAATTTTTCTTCTTGATAGTATCCCACATAATTCTTAGTCTTTCTTCATTCTTTTTTCTAATTTTTCCTCAAACAAATTGGTGTCAAACAAATTTGCTTATTCTGTCTTCCATTGTTTCAATTCTGCTCCTACACTCTTCTATTGAGTTGCCTATTTCTGAGATTTTATTGTTAATCTTTTGGATTTCTAGTTACTGTTTTTTTATGGTTTCAAATTGTCTATTTATTTTGTTGTTTTGTTCTTGTATTGTTTTCTGGAATTCTTCTATTGCTTTGTCTGTGTTTTCGTTGATTTTGTCTATGTTTTCCTTGGTTTGTCTGTGTTTTCCTTGGTTTTGTCTGTGTTTTCCTTGATCTCTTGAACAGCTCTGTGTATTAGTCTTTTGAATTCTTTATCAGGTAGTTCCATTGCCATTTCTTCCTTCAGAAGGTTTTCTGGTTCTTTATTTTGATCACTTGCTGGAACCATCTTCTGCTGCTTCTTTATGTGATTTGGTATTGTCTCTCTGAGGCATCAAGAAGTTATTATATTTATTGTATGTTTGCTGTGTCCTGAATTTTTATTTTGTTTTGATATATCCAAGTAGTCTGGGCATGTGTCCTACTCTGGTTGCTAATCTGGCCACATTGAAACCTTCATCTCCTGTCTCCAGGTGGGTGGAGCAACACGTGGGTTTGTGAGCATGGGTCTCTGTTTGCAGGCCTTTTGGGGCTGCTGAGTATGTAGCTGGCATTTCTGGTGAGGTGATGTATCTGTGCAGCCAGTCACCTGGCCATGGGTGCAGGGGGCATTCTCCCTGGTTGCTGGATTGAGTGTTGTGCGTGCACTCTGCCAATTGCCAGGTGGTCAGGGCAAGGGTGCCCAGCGGTCACCATGTGGGTGGTGTGTAAACTCTCACAGAGAGTCTTCGGCAGGCAGGTCTGCATGGGGGTGTTCAGAATGTGGGCACAAACCTCTCGTTGCATGGGGGGCGGGGAGTGATGCGGGGGGCGCGAAGCCAGTGAGATGTTGCCTGGCCATGGATGCCTGGTTGGAGGGCATGCCCCTGTCCACTAGAGCATGTTGCGGGGGGAGGTTGTGTAGCCAGTCCCCGAGCCCCCAGCATAGGTTGCTGTAGGGAATAGGAGGCACCGCTGGTCCTCAGGTCCCTGGTGTGAGTGACTGGAAGGAGTAGAAGTCACTGCCAGTCCTCAGGCCCCAGCCCAGGTAGCTAGAGGGAGTGGGAGGCACCGCTGGCCCTCAGGCCCCCAGCATGGGTGGCTGGAGGGAGTAGGGGCACTGCCAGTCTTCAGGCCCCTGGTGCAGGTGCTCACGTATTTTGGGCCTGTTAGCAGGAGAGAACAATCCCTGGAGATGGACATCATGTTTCGTAAAGTAGAGGGTCAGTGAAAAACAGGGAGACCCTTAACGAGATGGATTGACACAATGACTGCAACAATGGGATCAAACATAGCAAGGATTGTGAGGATGGCGCAGGACCGAGCATCCTTTCATTCTGTTATACGTGTCGGGACTGACTTGATGGCACCTAACAACAACAACAACACATCAGGTCAACATAAACTCACCACTTTGTCACATTTAGAATCAACACCAAACCCCCTACCGAGGCCAATGGGGCCCAAGGTAATCTGGCACCGGATTCACCTTCCCAGCCTTAGTCCTGCCTCTCTCTCCTGGCTCCCTTACCCCAGACACACTGGGCTGTGCCCCAGGGCCTTGGCTCAAATGCCTTGTCTAGAAAGAGTACTGCCCTAAGCCCTCAAACCCAGTCTGCACCAGAGCATCTCCCACATCACCCATTCTGGTCCTCGTGGCACTTACCAGTGTCCCCTCTGTGCCATCAGTACCTCTACCTGTTTTGTTGACCGGTGCATTCCCTAGACCAGTGTCTGGCCCAGAGTTGGGGCTCAGGCAACAGTGGAGAGTTTATTTAACAAAAGTGGAGTCCCAGAACGAGGAGTTGCCGGAGGCCTCATCTACGGCTTCCATTCTTGAGGCCAGTGCTGTCTCCCCAAATGCCTCCAGCCTTTAAAGCAGAGTAATGAAGGGAGATGGGGGTTCACCCCCCCAGCTTGGCTTCTATTTTCATCTCTGCAGCTGCACTGGTTAACAAGTGAGGTTAACCTCAGAGGCCGGGGAGAAATTCCTAGGGCCACGTGATATGTCAGGCTGCTCACCAAGGCCCTTCCTCTTTATGAAACCCCTCCTTCCTCCTGAGGCCCAAAAACAAGAACTCAGGAAGCCACTGTGGCTGATGTTGTAGTTGCAATTAGTTTTTGGCTTGAATTTAACTTTCTTAATTTAATCTTTCTTAAGCAGTTTCTCAACTGTGGTCTGAGAAGGGCCCGCCTCCCTTGACTGCTTGGGGCAAGAATATCTGGGATGCCTCTCACCAGCCTCCCAATGCCTGAAGATGCATGGCTGTGGCTACAGCAGGTAGGCATTCCCCCAGGTAAAGGGGCTACCATGAGGAGGTCAAGTCCATGGTGGAGGAGACAAGGGGGACGTCTCTACCCATCCACCTGACTAAAACGGGAAGGGCTGGCCACACACCACAAACAATGAGGTTAGTGGGCTGAGTCCTAACGGTCCACAGCTTTTCTTCATGCTGCTGGGCCTGCAGGCACCCACTTCTCAGAAGCTGGTCACTGGAGAGAACTCAGACCTCGTTCAGTGAGCACTTCTGCTTTCCTCAGAGGGGAGAATACCACTCTCTAAATGTCAGTGGCATACTGTCTGCCATCTCCTCTCCCCTCAGAATACCCTCTGAACCCAGAGCGGACAGAGGCGTTGGGAAGGTGCAGGGGCCCAGGCATGCCAGAAAGCCACAGCTCCCTTAAGGATGTTTGCCGTGAGCACAAGCGTACTGAACTAAGCAGGGGCGAGGTGGTATCTGTGCCCTCCCCGTGAGGGTGGTGCCCTGGGAGGACCCCACTGACTAGAAGCACAAGGGGGCAAGGAGGCAATGCACATGCTAAGACAGAGGGGCTGAAAAGCAAGGCTTTATTCTCAATTCCTTTTGTGTGACAAAGTTTACAAAGTTTCATTTCTTTTTATTCTTTTGTGTCCCCAAAGCCCCTTTCCAAAATCACATGTTAACTAGTGTTCTGTGGGGGGGGCATTCAAACGAAGACCATGATGATTTGGGTTTCATCCCATTTCCCAGCAGCGCTCCGGCCCTGGGTCTTTTGGGAGGACCTCTGGGCAGGAGGCTGCCGTTTCTAGAGCAAACATGAGCACACGGCCTCAGCAGAGCCCCCAGTATCTGCCCTGGTTCCCACAGCCTCACACACCACGGCCAGAGCACCCGGCACCAAGCCTGAAGACCAGCTTCCCTCCCATGCTCTGTACCAACCCCACCAGCTCCCGGCTAATCTTCCTCTGGGCCTGAAATAGCAAACTCAGGACTTTCACAGCAGTGTCTTTTGTGGGGACCCAAGAGGGTGAGTGCACAGTGACTGAGAAATGAGCTGCTGGGCAGGAGCCGGAATCACACAGGTTATCTAAGCTGTGGGCGGGGCTGACCCAGCGGGGATCCCGAAGGCCTAAGCATGGGGCTTCAACTCCATCTTGGCCACTGCCGCCCGGTGCACCTCGTCAGGGCCGTCAGCAAAGCGCAGTGCTCGGGCCAAGGTGAAGAAATGAGCCAGAGGATAGTCGCTGCTCAGCCCCGCTGCTCCAAAGGCCTGGCAGACATGGGGGAGGAAGCCCTGGGTGAACTCTCGTCTCCGAGGCCCCAGACTACAGCCTGCCTGCTAGTTCACGGTGTCTTCCTGGGGATGCCCCCAACAACACTGGGGTGGAACAAACGTTCTAGGAGACTTAAGGTGGGGCTACACTTGCTGTTCTGTGGATGCCATACTCACTGAGTCCACTCTGCAGGGTGACCTCCCACTGGGAAATCTCTACGTTGGGGCCAGGTATAAGATAAGGGAAGGGGCAGCCCTGCATGGTTCACAGGCTGGACTGGTGGTGTAAAGGCCTACGGACTTATCATTCCAGGTGTGGCCACTTAGACAAGTCACGTGACCTTTCTGTGCCTCCGTTGCCTCATATTCAAAATGGGGATAGTAGTGGGGCCCACCTCCCGGGCTTGTTAGGAGGAGGAACAGGAAATAAGGCACGCACGGTACATCTGCAATAAAGGGCAGCAGCTAAAGCCGACAGGAGCTTGGGGAGCACTGCTGTAAATGGTTCAGACACACCAGTGTCTGCAGGCATGTTCACCTGAATTGCACGCTCAGTCACTCGGCAGGCCATGGACGGGGCTACCATTTTAATCATGGCAATGTCCAATGCTGCAGCCTGCAAGGAAGAAGAGAGGATGGGTCACGAGGGCGTGCCCAAGGGCAGAACCCTTGCCACTAGACAGAGGGAAGTACAAAGAATAGCTCAACAGAAATGGCAGGTCCACTAGACTGTAAGCCCTGCCTGCAGCTAAGGGTGTGGGGCGCAGTATTGGTGACCACAAGGGTGATTAAAGTGCTCGGTAACGGGCAGACTCAGGAACACTGATGTTCTTCCCAGGGCACAGGGGACATCGCTGTGTCACAGAGAATGCAGAGTGGGGAGTGGCCTATGCTTCCTTCAGGGACACCGGCAGCTCCATCTCCAACCAATAGAGTGCCAAAGCCAGCCAGGGGCTCCACAAAAGCAAGCTCTGAGGACCTGTGCTGGGTCAGGGCATTGTAGCAAGGTGCTCCCAGAGCCTCCACCACACCTGGTACCAGAGAGCCAAGGAGCCGAGAAGGTGACCTGGATTGTCCCTGCTTTATTGAGGCTTCTCAGCCTGGAGGTGGAGGCCACCCAGCAGAGGCTGGACCAGGCAGAGGCCACTTTGGGCATAGAGCTGGCCCTTTAGAGGACTTAGAAACTGCTGTGTAATGAAAAACAGCAAACTTGAAAATAAGCTTCTATTTTGGCTGATTCTGTAACTGGATTGAGGACACTGGAGGGTCCCTTCTCCCTTGCTTGTTCTTAGTTTGCCATCACTGGTTCCAACATGGCCTGGAAGCCCAGGCCCAGCTGGGGCTGAGGCCAGGGGGCCATGTGCCCCTGTCAGGACCACTGACTTGGACCCAGAAGTTCACTTGGTCAAGGTCAGTGTCTGTAGATTCCCAGTATCAATTCCCTCCTTCAGGCCCTCTGTCATCTGTAAGACCCTCACAGCCTCCTACCTTATTACCAGCCATGTCCATGAGGTGGGCAGCTTTGAGCACCAGCAGCCGGGTCTGCTCGATCTCCACTCGTGACTGAGCAATGTCTGCCAGGAGCGTGCCCTGCTCCACCAGGGGTTTCCCGAAGGCCACTCGGGACTTCACCTGTCGAAACAGGAGACATGGCAGGGCTGAGTACATGCTGGGCTGAGGGTGCCACTGCCACTGAGGGCATGAGGGTGGGTGGACGAGCACACAGGAGAGGGCAGGCCCAGCCGGGGGCAGGACAGCAAAGCGGGAAACAGGAGCCTGCAGCTTATCCTCAAATTTGCCAGCTCTCCAGCCACAGGAATCCCCAGGGAGAAGATGCATATGCAGACACCATTCATCTGCACCTTGGAGCCGTGGTGACTGTGCAAATTGTGTCCAGGAACGCCTTTACCCCAGCAACTAAGCCTCCTCCAAGCAGAAGGGGCAAGGCGAGCTCCCAGGCAAGGAACAGGTCTTTCTATCTGAGCAGGCAGCTGGCCCAATGCTACTTTTTTTTTCTTTTTTTCCCAGTGTTAAATGGGGTTTACAAATACTAAGCGATAAAGGGTTGTTAACAAACACAGTAACAAATGGACATCTGATTGGTACGAGGCATTAGCCTGTACATCGTATTATGGTTTCGTGTGCATTCTCGGTGCACAGCATTTACACCCAAAGCCACTGCTGCACAGCACAAGAGTATACGAAGAGGCTGAATCAGAGTAAGGCTGCTTAACAGACTGAAATTTTTTAGTATATATATGAAAACACATTGAATTTTTGAGCTGGCAGGGTAGAAGGCAACTCTGCTACTGTCATAAGGTTGTCAAGCAGAGCAGTGGCTTCAGAGCCTCACGCGACTGACGCCAGCGGGGAGGGCACTCTCTACGACCGACCTTGCACCAGCCACAGCCCCAGAGCACCTCAGGGAGGAAAGCCGGGCACCAGAGCCCTCTGGCAGGCACCTTTTATCTGTGCCGGTGACTTCAGTCCCGGAAAGGCACAAGGCAACAGAACAGCTTATAAGGTATTCTTCTATTTTTCTAAAACGATTGTTACAACAATATATCTCATGGCAGAAAAAGGTATAAATTTTCAGACAAAAAAAGAAAAGAAAATTACCCAGAATCCCACTATCTAGTTACTTATAGTTACTATTTGGTGGGTATCCCTCTAAACTTTTTGTACTCATATACACACATACGTGGTTTTTTATAAAATGGAGTGATAGTCTGTATATTGCTTTGTAGCTTGCTTTTTTTTTTTTATTTAAGAGTATATAGTGGAGAGTTCTGGCAAAATGGCGCTCTAGGCAGAAGCACCACGCCATCCCTCCACAGCAAAGATCTGAAAAACTAAGCCGAACAGAGAATACAACAATCCTGAAACCCTAAAACATCAAATGAAGAGATAAAGAACTCAGCCAAGCACCAAATGGAGTGAGAAAACTGACAGAGAACGGAGAGCGAGGAGAGATTCATGCAGAGGTCCCCTACCAGCTAACGCAGCGCGGATCCGCCATCTCGGACACCTATCGGAGACCAGCAAACGGGGTATGAAAAAGCAGCCTCACAGAGCTTCCAGTGGGAGACAAAACAACTGGTAATTGGTGATATACGCTTTCCCACCCCCCACCCTTCTTCACCCCGACTGGGCCTCCTCTGCTTCCCACGGCCACAGTCTCTTGACTGGGAAACAGCGGCAGCTTGGATTCCACACACCCGAACGGGTGGCTCTCTTGAGTACCATCTGTGGGCTGCTGGTGTTGCTTTTTTTCTGCTTCTTTTTATTTCTTCCTTGCCTCTCCCCACCTCTCCCTCCTTTAGCTCAAGTACCTCGCTCTGTGTGCCATTTTTGCTTCTTCCTGAGGGGCTGCAGAGCTCCAGCATTTTGTGATATACACTTTCCCACTCTTTACCCTTCTTCACCCACACTCGGCCCCCTCTGTTCCCACGGACACAGTCTCTTGTCCAGAAGCACCATCCCACACTAGCTGGCTCTCTAAGTGCCATTTGTTGGCTGCTAGTGTTGCTTTTTTTTTTTTTTTCCGGCTTCTTTTGACTTCTTACTTGCCTCTCACCACCTCCCCGTCCCTTCGCTCAAGTACCTGGCTCCGTGCACCATCTTTGCTTCTTCCTGAGGGCCTGTGAAGCTCCATTCAAGTGTGGAGCTACTTCCCAGTTTGGGCTGCCGCGCTGGTGGGATCCCGGGGCTTTTCCTCGTTTGTTTGTTTTGAATTGTTTGTTTGTTTTCTTTTCCTTTTCTTGAGTTGGGAGCCCTTTCTGGCCAGGCTGAGCTGCGTGACACGGAGACGCCCCTTCAGCATCCACAGACATGCAGAGGGATCCCTGAGAGCATTTCTTTTTACATTGTTTTTTTTTTTTTTTTTCCTGTTTCTTTGGAGGCCTTTCTTGTTTTTTCTTTTTTTTGTTGTTGTTTTGTTTTCTGTTTCCTCTTTTTCCCTTTTTGTCTTTCTTCATTGCTCAGTTTCTCATCTCTCTATATCTTCCTTCTCTTTCTAGTCCCTGAATACCTGGCATTGTATACCTCTA